TTCAATATTTCACTAGTTTTACTTGATCTGTATTTATATAATCCCTTATATCATATTCTCACAAGAGTTTGGAGTCGACGACAAAAAGAGATAATCCAATCGTGAAACACTCTATCAATCAACTCAATTGTATTGAAAGATGTATATTCTTCATTGAAGCATATTATCATCAATCATACAATAAAATTCTTACAACATCCTTGTAATTTACATTCACTTGAGATCAAAGGAACTTTATACGAAATATATATATATAAATAAATATATACATTATTGACAAAGAAAAAGAGTGCATCTTCAGGTCGAAGTTGAATACGTTTACGAATAAGAAAATAAAATTGACCAACCTAAAATATCATTATCATTGATAAATAATAGAAATGAAACAAACAACAAAATATTACTGTAAGATCATTAGGTACTAAATATTTCTTTGATGGAAGATCTGAAATACGTGAATTTGGTGCACGTTCAACAATAACTGCACATCGATCCGGATATTCACGACGAATACGTTCGCCTAAAAAATTTTTAAAATTTTTTTTCTTTTTTTTCATTTAAATATACCTTCAGCACGGCGACTTTCATAAGGATTATTAGTTTTAAATTCCCAACGCATATTTATATCTAGAATTTTAATGAAATAAATAAAATCTAAAGAGCAATATTTGATATTGTAATAAAAGCAAGTGTTCCTGATATCGATTGAAATTGATTATCTTTTTCTAAGAAATGTTTTCGTAAATATAATTTTTTTTTTTCTATACCACCAAAAAGAATAAGTTCACTTCGAGCATATATTAATGAATAATAAAGTGATGAACGTGATGGACTACCAAATACATTTGTACATTTTGATGGTAACCATGTTACAGATGGATTTGATGAAAATATATTTGATAAATCAAGTCGATACATTTGAAAACCTGTTGATATATCCATCATAGTATATTTATAAGTAATTAATGGTAATTGTGTTCGTTTAGGTATTATTGAATAACGATTTGTTTCATCATTTTCATCACTTGAACTACTTGGAAGAGATGATGTTGATAAATCTTCACGAGATTTTTTATCACAATGAGAAAAATCATATTGACTATATGTATGACGTTCATTTTCAGTTGGATGTCGTTTTAATCGACCAAATGTTATTAATATATTTGATGATGATACCATACAAAATGGTAAATAAGATAAATCATCATTATTTGGTGCAAAATCATTTGGATATTGATTATTAACTGTTATTTGTGTCCATTGATTTGTTTGAAATGAAAAAATCCATACATCACGACAAACACAAGTTAAAGATGAACCTCCAACAATTAAAATATTTTGAGAATTTAATGTAAATTGTGAATGACCTAATAGAAAAAACAAAAAATAAGAAAATATTTATTTTATATACGAAAAAGTAAGAATGAATAGAATTCTATATTGTATAGAATCATTAAGCAAAATTTTCTTACTCTATATAAATGATAGGAAAGAATAAACTTCTAGATTTATTAGGATATGTAATCATAATACTTAAAAGTATTTTGAATATATATTTGATAAGATGAACGGCTTTTCAAAAATAGAAAGAGAATATAAAGATACATCGAATCATAGATATGATTGATTTTTTTCAATAGTTTTTCAACGATTTTCTAAAACTGTGACTTTCTTTTTGTTACGAAAGGAAAAAAGGTATAAAATGATTGTTTAAAAGAAAATCAACTTTGAATTTCAAATAGAATATTTATTTAACTTCTAAATGATAAAATCTAATAAGAAATTTGAATTCTCATTTGATAATTTCAAAATTCATTATAAACATTTCTAAAAATAGATTTATTTCAAGAAAGGTCGATTGAAAACAAAACTAAATAAAAAAATTCAAATCGATAATTTAATACATCTTTATTTTTTCTTTCTAAAGGTGAAGACTCATCACTTTCTATCTTAGTTCTATTAGAACTAATTCAAAATGTACGGATTCAGTATTATTGCCACATATCATAATCAACAACTCTTATCGAAATTCTATTATTATGAAACTAGTTGAAGAATTATGAAAAATATCAAGCAAAACTTTACAATAAGTCAATATTAAGTGAAAGTTTCTTTACGGTATTCAAGTACCTTTGCTGCTATTTATAATATGCTCTAAGTGTTTGTATAAAACATAATCTAAAAGTAATATTGATGTATAGGTGTAAAAATTTAGACTTTTCACTATCCTCTTCCAACAGACCATGACAAACATCAGTTGAAGGTCATTACAAATCATGACAGATATCAGTTAGAGGTCATTACAAACCGTGACAAACGTAAATATAAGAAGGTCATAAACTGTGACAAGCATTGTTAGTATACGATCACACACTGCATATAAATAACGTCTAGTTGTCATATATACAAATTACTTCCTTATCACATTTTTTGTATGATTAAGTAAAACGATTGGTCAAGTCGAAAAACAGATAAAATAAGTCTTTCGGTGATTAACAACTGCATCGCTATTACACAAGGTTTGTATTTCTAAATATATATATATGTTATGGGCAAAATTGAAATTCAGTCAAATTTGAAATTTGCCCAGTCAAAATTAAAATTTCAATTTCGACTAGGCAAGTTTCAAATTTGACTGAATTTCAATTTTGCTCATAACACATATATATATATATATATTGTTAAATAACCTTTTCTTGGTTCTGGTTTAGTTCCATTAACATGAATCATTGTCCAAATATTTGTATGAATATCTGTCCATTGCCATAAATCATTTGTTCTTTGAGGTGTTGATTGTTGATTTTGATCATTTATTATCATAGATCCACCAAAAATAATCATTCGTTTTTGATTATTAATATTAATAATTGATGCACTATGATCACAAATAGGTCCAGGTTCATTTAAATTTACATGTAAATTCCAAGAATTTTTTTCTAATGAATATGAATGAAGTTCATTATGAAGTTGTTCACGCATATGTATATCATCAATATAAATCATTGAACGACCACCAAATAATAATAAATTTCCTTGTTCATCATCAATAAATGTTGATGAACATTTTGGTGGTGGATAACATCCTGTTGCTAAAATTCTTTCCCAACTAAAAATTTAAAAAAAAAATCAAAAAAAAAATCAAATTTAAAATAAAACCTTCGTGTTGATAAATTTAAACGCCAAAAATCATTAAGTGATGTTGCCATATTTCGATTACCACCAAATACATATAACATTCGTTTTGAATCAACATAACAAACAGAATGTGAAAAACGTGGTGTTAAATTAAATTTTGTTGGTGGATCAATTAAATGCCAATGAATAGAAACTGATGATGTTGATAAAGATAAACTATCATGAAATGTTTTCATACGCCAATTTTTAATCACACGCCAAAGTCTTTCCCATTGTTGACAAACAAGTCGAATAGATGCATAATCACTGTATAAAAATAATAAAAAAAAAGATTTAGTAGATCTCCTTAAAAGATAAATATTTATCTTTACTTATAAGGTAAAAGATATCGAAAAATACGTAATAAAATTTCTTCAGGTAGATCTTCTATAGATTTTGAATAAATACAAATTTCATCATTATTGTTCATTATTTAACACTATGAATATTATCACTAGACAAAACAGCTGATACGTTCTAATAACTCAAGCACATGATGAATGTATTTCCTCGTATTAACTCAGTGATGCAAGTAGATTTATTCTTGTTGGATAAAGTTTTCTCCAATGAAAAATTTTCATTGATCTTTTTCTGTTTTTTTATTTATTTATTCGTCCTTCGTATTTGACGTCCATTTATTGTTCGCCGCCTTTTTTTTTTTCTTCTCTTAATAAAGAGTATTCTGATCAATAAAATAAAAAGTGCTGTTGAAAAGAAATTACTATTGAGTATGTATGTGTTTTGTCTTCTTTCGACTTTAATGTATATTCGAGAATTTGAGTTTTTATCTTTCTTGATGAAAAAATCTTTTACGTTATACACGTGAATGTTTTTCTTTTTCCAAGTATAGTCAATGTTTGTTTTGATTTATTAAAAAAAGTTGTAGGAGTTGTCAGTTTTTGTTTTTTTTTTCTTCTTCTTCCTTGTTATTAATTTATATTACGACAGAATAGTTTGTAAATGACGAACATTTGTTGATTGTTCGAGAAGGATGAAAATGATTTCATGCTACTTTCCTATATAGACAAAACAATAAGAAGTTAGGGCTTGTTTTCCAGATTGACGGCATTCTATATACTAATTGGTCTAACTTGTCTAGCACGTCAAACAATGTAGATCTTGCGGTGTTGCTGATCTGGAGAAATATCCAAATACGAGTTTTTTTTTGTTGCTTACTCGGTAGTAGGCGAGACAAAGATAAGAAAAACTATTTATCGAAAGATAGTCATTATGAATAGAATTTTTCTTATATATATCATTTATTTTTAGATTAATTCTACTCTCTTTTTTTGTATATATATATCTGGTAAGTTTTTCTATAACAAATAACGTTTAAATAAGTATGTATTTATAATTTATTGGACAATCTAATGTACTGATTTGTTTAATAATAAAAAGGTTCATCAGCTCAATCATTATATCATTGTGGCGTGAAGGTTTTTTTCATTGATTATCAAGATCATTCTCGAACAATTCAAGGTAAATTTGAAGAGCAATCAATTGTGACAAGGATGATCATTGTCAGACTTGACGTCATCACAAAAAAAAAAAAAGAAAAGACGTTGTCGATCTCTTGTCGCTTTTGTTTTCTTTTTTTTGTTCTTTCTTTACATACATAATGCACATAGTTAGTTAAACCAATGAATACGACTCGTCGAGGCTCGTTTTCTTTCGGAGAAGAAGAAAAAAAGAGACATGTACAGTAGAGTATATTAGATGAGAAAAAAAAAGTAACTACGACGCATTGAGAATAAGACTTCTGTAAATAATTGTTTTCTTTATTTCATTGTTGTTTTTTTATTTTTAGTAAGACAAAAAAAAGAATAATGGCCGATTTTTATGAAATACTTGAGGTGGATAAAACGGCCACAGAAGATGAAATCAAAAAAGCGTATGTTATATCTATAGATAATAATCTTTTAATTAAGTATTATATTCTATTTTTAGATATCGTCGTTTAGCTCTCAAGGTAAGTTTTCATTGTTAAATTGTTTATTATATATTTGAAATACAAATTTTTTTTAGTGGCATCCAGATAAAAATCTTACAAACAAAGCTCAAGCAGAAGAAAAATTTAAATTAATATCTGAAGCTTATGAAGTTTTATCTGATAGTAAGTAGAAAAAGAAAAAAATTTTTTTTTTTTTTTTTCTTTTTTAGAAAATTTAAGCTTTTTATTGCATTTTAAAAGCAGCATCAGCAGTAGTCGTTTCTTTTTCTTTTTCTTTCCCCTAATGAAAATATAAACAGGTCGTGGACGATTTTTATATGATCAATTGGGTCCATCAATAATTTATAGCGAAAGAACAAACGAAGAACTTGAAGAATTATTTCGTGCAGTAATTATTGATGATGAATTTTTAAAAGTTTGTGATGAAGAATATAGAAAATATAGTAATAATGAACAAGATACAATATTATCATTTTTAAATCCAACAAATCAATATGATTATGAAGAAATTTCCTTATTTGATAATGAAAATGATTTAAATCCAAATGTTGTTCATGAAATAAATATGTCAATTCATTATGATTTTCAATATGATAAAAATAGTTCAAATTTAAAATTTGTTAAACGACATTTTAATATTATTTCAGAAGATAATGATTATTTAACAAAAAAAAATCGTTTTTCAAATTTAAATTTATCTAATGATATCGATCGATTTGTTAAAATACATGATTATGTTCATCATTCACAACAACCAGAACAACAACAACAACAACACAATACAAAAATACATAGACAAGAGATAAATAAAGAAGTAAATAATAAACAAGAAATAAATCAAAAGAAAAAACCTTCTTTAAAACGACGACAAACATTGAACGATCATTATAGACGAACAACAATAACACCAGTAGATGAAACACAATATTTTGATACATTTGCATTAACTCAACTTGTTGAACAACAATTAGAAGCTGCTTATCGTGCAACTACTTTGAATAATTTTAATCCAATTAAAAATCAACCAATTCGTGCACAACCAATTAATCGAGCTAAATTTGTTCAACCACCAATATTGATTCCAAAATCAGAAGAAAAATCTTTTCGTCATCGTGTTGATCATATTGAATTTCCAAAAACAACTTTTCCTCGTCCTTTACGTAAATCATTTATATCTTATGATGAAAACATTTCACAACCAATTCAATCAAAGAAAGAACGAGAAAGACTCTTATTACTTGGTCAACAAAGTATTAAATCATCAGCAGTTGCATTGGGTGCACATAAAATTCCAGATCATGTTCAATCAATTGATTTACTTGAAATTCCATGTATACAAAAGAATGGAAAACAATTTCAAGATTTTAAACTTATTAGTTATGATACATTTGATCATTGTCCAATTTCTTCAGTTCCTTCAACTTCTACTCTTCGTCGTACAAAATCAATGAGAAATATTGATAAATCAAATGAAATATCAAATAAACATTCATCAACAATTTCCGATGATATGAATTTACACAATCTCTCGAAAATTACATCACCATTGAAAACTATTAAACGTAATATATATCATAAAAATGGAACAGCAATTAATAATAAACAAGTATTCAAAGAAAAGAGTAAAGGTAGGAAATCGTAGAAATAAAACATCGGGGAAATTGTAGAAAAATTAAAATTGACGACTATTGCTGTTGCTGCTGCTCTATATTATATTAATCATGCTCTTAACTAATTGATATTAATACATAATGGATTTTTAAAATAAATTGCAGAAGATAAACGTCGAAAATATGATCAATTGGGTCGAGCTGGTTTATCAAACGGTCATGGTGGTGGTGGTGGTGGTTTTTCATCTAGCGATGTATATGGAGGATTTTCAGAAGATTTTCTTAATCGAACATTTCATTTTCACAATCCATTCGATATTTTTGAACAGTTCATGTCCCATTTTGGCATGGATGATGATTTTGGTAAGTCAATATGTTTTGTTACTCTTTCTTTTTTTTGTTTTGAAAATAATAAATTGATTTATAGTGAATTAAGTGCGAGCTTGCATATGTTGCTTTTTTTGCTTATTTTTTTAGACATGTGGCCACATCATATTTTTCCTTCTGGTGAGGATACCAGAAGAATAAAACATTTTTTTTCTATTTATTTATTTTTTTCCCAAATGATGCTCGCATAGCGCATGAGGTGATTGGGAATGTTTGACATATCTATAGTTAAAACATTTATGAATTAAAGTATTAATGTTATGTAATTAAATGTATTATTATTTATTTTAGGTTTTGGTATGCATCCATTTGCTGATTTACAACGTCATCGTCGTAATCGAGATCAGCATTCCTCCACATCAAGACGTGCACCACAGCAAATGACTTTGTTCGATAATTTTTTTTCTCCAATGAGAATGTCTTTATTCGATCATGATTCATTTGCCGGTGATTTTGGAGGAAATAATATGGGAACTGTTTCATCATTTAATATATCATTTGGGTCTGTATCTATATATATATATATGTCAAAAATATTTATCATTATTTATTTTTAGTAGTGGCGGTTCTCGACCACTATCGAAAAAAACAACTAAATCTACTAAAATGATTAATGGTCGACGTATAACTACTACACGGTAAGAAAAATTTTGAGTATTATTATTATTATTATTATTTACAAAGTATATTTTAGAGTGGAAGAAAATGGTCAAATAACAGAAATAATTGAAGAAGATGGTCAAATAAAATCAAAGAAAATCAATGGAGTTGTACAAGCAATTAAATAAATAAATAATTTACAATGAATATAGCATTCGCATTCCAACACATATACATACATTGAACTGTTTCTATACATAAAATATATATTCATAAATTTTTTCTTTTTTTTGTATGATTTATGTGTTGTTCAATCGAAGAATTTTCTTCTATTTTTCACGAATCGAAAGATCTTTCTTCTTCTTTTTTTTTTTTTTTTGTTTTTGATTACGACTAAAGTGATGATGATGCTATTCTATGCTCATCTTTTTCATTTGTGCGTCTATATGTGTGTGCTTAATACGAGAGATATTTATTTCAATGAATTGGAAAAGATAAGCACTAAAATAAAGTTGAAAAAAAAAAAAAAAAACAAAAACAAAATGCTTTAAAATTTCTTCATTTTAGAGAAGAGATAATGAGTAATTCAAATGAAAAGAATCTAGTAGATGGAATACATACTCAAGGGTTATCATTACCTACCGATTTATCAGCAGAAAAAATACAAGATTTTCAAGCTGCTTTTAGTATTATGGATACACAATCGAAAGGTTTTGTAGGAGCTGAAGATATTATTCAAGTAGCAGAATCTGCAAGTATTGAAAGAACAAGTCTTTCATTTGTTTTTTTCTATTATTATTATTGTTTATTTTTGAAGATATGATATTAGCTGATAATGAAGCTCAATTATTACTTGGTTCAGCTGATGAAGATCATTCAGGTGGAATTGATATGAGAGAATTTATATCAATTATGACAACACCTATTAAACAAGAAGATTTAGAAGATGAACTTCGTGCAACATTTCGAGTTTTTGATAAAGATGGAAATGGAACAATTAATGCTAATGAACTTAAACGATTTGTTCGAGTAAGACAAGAAACTACACAAAAAAGAAAAAATCATTTCAATTGAATTTTAGCTATGGGATAGTGAATTAACAGAAGATGAAGCTGATGATATGATTGGTCAAGCTGATCCACATAAAACAGGATCAATTAATTATGATGCTTTCATACAATTTCTTCTTCATACATAAGATAAAGAATAATCTAATCAATTTATTTTTTTTTTTTTGTTTTAAATATATAATATTATTGTATAGTTTCAATAATGGAATGTACGCAGTTATTTTATATTTATTCTCGTTTACGAATAAAGATTCCCTACAAATATTAAAATGCCAATGTACAGTAGACAAATAGAAAAACATTTTATTTAAGAACTAAAATATCGAATATGAATATTGAAAGAAATATATATATATATTGTAGATCATCATTCATTAATCAATGAAAGACGTATTAAATCTCTTATAGAATGATAAAAATATATGTTTAGATAAAATAACAAAGATATAAAAAATTTCAATTCCTTACAAAAATATTTTTTATGAAATCTTTATAAGTTACCGATGTTAGGTAATTGTATTTTAAATATCTGATATACTACTACGAAATATTAATATTTTCTTATGACTAAAAGAAACTTTAGCAGAGTTCTTGAACAATTAAAATATATTACACAGTGAAGCTGCTGTTGACATTGTCACAAAGAATAATTTATAACATAAGTTTCAGTTAGTGAATTACTGCCTACTATTAATACATGTCTATGATGAATGACGATTCACATAATATATTGTAATCATTATGAAAGAAGAACAAATAATAGTTATCTTAAATAAAATTATGCTTTATACGAATCTTACAGCAAATTTTATTTTAGTTTTTTTGTTCGAGAATAGTAAGGTAATCTTTGACCGAAAGTGTGAGTCGAAGTTTATGGTGCGAATCGTTGCTCATTTTGATCTGCTTGAAAGTATCTTAGAAAAAGCTAAGAAATATAGATGATGATCAAAGTTTCACACTCGTTGAATATGAAACTGGAAATATTGTACCGGTTTTTGTTTGAGACTAGTGAAGGAATTTTTTTCAAAGCTTAAAAAATTAGATTCAATGATGATCCATTAGGCTTTGGCTGACACCTATAAGTTCTTTTTCGAAGGTACTAAAAAAACAATTTTTGAGCTGGTGGTTTTGTCGAACAGACAAGCCTCCAAAAAATGAAGTATTTAACTACGCAATGACTTTTACATAAGTGAAACTATAGGCGTTGCTTGCATGCCTAGTTACTACCGTTTTCTGTTGAGAAGCTTTATAGCTTTACTTCAGGTTCTGAACGCAATAGTGAGTCTTCATTTTTTTTTCTGTTGGTCACCTTTACTTTACAGGAATGCCATAATCTTGTCCAATTCCATCGCTGCGCGTCGTTTCTTATAAAATAATTGTAGAATGTGATCAAAATCGAACGCCGTATGGAAAAATAGCTGAACAAGTTCTCGTTCAAATGCAGAAAATGAATGATTGCTGTCATAATCTTAGTCTTCACCGTAAATCAAAAATCGGAGAATTTTCTCTTTAAAATTTATATATACTATTACCATTATTTAAATCCTATGTGATCGAATCTTGTATATTTTACACAAGAAAGTAACAAAATAAACTAACTATGGTTTTGTTTGTCTGCAGACAAAGAAATTAAATAGATAGCAGTACATGCATATAAACTTCGTAGAAATGAACTGATTTTAAAGATGATCAATATTTGCGTTTAACAAAATTTGAAATCATACTTATTGAATCGAAACCATCAAATTATAGTGAACAATTTTTTATATGATACACTAGTGTATTGTTCTTCTAAATTAACGAAGTGTTTAATTTAAAGATCTAGATATCAAAAAATGTTTAAGAAAGCTCTCATTATGAATTGTATAGATGCAAGATAGATTTCATTTTTAAATATTTAACTATATCCACAAATAAAAATAATTTCAAAAAACATTTCCCAGATAGGCAACAAATATTTGCATGTACTTTGGGATAGTCTACTGATGTCAAGAATAGAAGGAAGGAGGGACATAACTATCAGATATTATCAGTATATTCTAACAGTCTTCATTAGAGTATATCTGGTAGATGAGCGATTTTATCTAATATTGTATATTTGTAATAGTATGATAAAATTGGCTGGATCGGCATGGATCCTAGGTGGTCATGTCAGGGTTAACTAAGCATAGTAATATGATTTTATAATACTTCAATTCTTTTTATTTTTTTATATATTTTTATTCCAAACAAAAAACAAGTATATCTTAATGATAATTCAAAAGAAAATATTCAATAGCTGTAGAAAAAGCAGCAAAACCGACCGCACCAATGACACTCGCTTGAAGTCCAGCTAGAAAAAAAAAACATAGTTTACAATGATTTATTTAATTTTGATTTATTTTAAATAAAACTGACCACGAAGTCCTAGTAAACCACCCGTAACAAATCCAGCATAAGTTCCATTTCGAATATCAGATTTTGCTCGATACTAAAAATCAAAATTTAATCAAACTTATTCTTCTTAATAAATAAAATTTTCCTACAGATTCAATGTTACATTCAACTGTACTAAAAACTAAACCAACAATTGCAAAATTTTTAGCATAACTCAACGATCTAGTTCGCATTTCACGCCAAACATCTTTTAGTGTTGGTGTTGCACCTGGTGTTGCTGTTTGAATCGTAGACATTGGATCAATACTTGCTGTAAATACACCAAGACCAATACCCAATACAAAACCTTTGAAATAAAAAGAAAACTTTAAAAATTTCAATATTATAATTGAATTTAATAAACATGCCTCCAGCACAACTAATCATTGCTTTAAATGTACAACTTTCCATAAATTTTCTCACACGTAATTCCTCTGGTGCCATTCCAGCTGAACCCATTCCTGGTAATCTTCCTGATCCATCACTTGGAATTAATCGATTATTAATACCTGACCATTTTCTTTTTGAACCCATTAAATGATCAATTATTGAAAATATTTGTCGATCAGCAACTGTTGTTAAACTTTCATCTAATAATGGTTTTTCTTCTTTTTTTACGAATATATTTGGTTGATAAACACCTGAAGACATTGCTAGAAAAAAATTATTTATTCATACATACATATATATATATATATATATTTATTTAATTATTTATTCATTAAAAGCATATTTATTTTAACATTGAAACACTACATTTATGAAAAAAAAAATAAAGAGATTAAAATATAATTACAAAAATTTACAACATTGAGAATGACAAGAAGAGACAACAATTATATATTTAAATGAGATTGGGTTTTTGCGTTATACGAGATCGTTCATAATTTTCACTTTGTGATTGAGATTGTGTCGGTCGATTAAGATCATTTAAATCAAAAAATTGTGTATCACGATCAATTGGTGAACGAATTGAATCTATGTTTAATAGAAAAATAATAGATTTATTTTAAATTAAAAATAATATTTACCTATTGAAACACTTGACATTGATGAAGATAAATTAGCATTAAGACAAGCTGCTGCTGATGATGCTGAATAATGATGATGATGACGAAATGTATGATGATGATGTAATGATGTATGTCGTGTACCATTATTTCCAGTTAATCCACTTCCAACTCCACTATTACCTGAATCATCTTCATGTTCATCTAATGATGGTAAACATGTTTCAACCATAGCTTCTAACCAATTAACAAATAATTCAACATTATCAGGATTTTGTCTTGATACAGTAAATGGTCCAGCAAAACGCCATAAACCACCAAAACCACATGATTGTAAATAACTAAGTTGTTGTTGTTGTTGACTTGCATCATCACCAGCTGAACAAGCAATCATTTGATATATAATTGATTGTACTGATGCTAATATTGATTCATCATGTGATAATGAAAGAACAGAATTTATTTTTGCATCTAATAAATTATGTATAACTGGAAATACTTTTGGAAAAACAATACTTGATTCTGATAAATATTCATATAATATTCTCATTTCATTTTCATCTGATGTATTACGTACAAGTGTTGCTAATACAGTTAATAAAAGTGCTTGTGTTGATGTATCTGTTAAAACATCTGGATCTAATAATAGATTTGTTTCACAACTTGCCTAAAAAAATTCGAAAAAATAAATTA